ACTGTATATAGAGTTTGCTACTATCCATGGTTTTGGTATCCACAGCAGGTCCTTGGAATGCATCCCCCACAGATACGGGGGTCCTACTGTACAATATTGGAAAACATTCATTGTTAAATTAAGTTTAAAGATACGGTGGAACCTCGTTTTTCGGCCATAATCCGTTCCAGAAGGTCGGCCTAAATTCAAAACAGCCTAAATTTGAAGCAATATTTCCCATAAGAATTAATGTAAATACAATTAATCCATTCCAGACATACAAAAATATTCACAAAAAATACATTTTTTAAAGATTAATTATAGTTTTGCATACACAAAACAATGAGAACTAAATAAAATAAATTAAGAACATTTAAATCACTATTACATACCTTTATTGAAGACTCTTGTTGGCTTATGGAAGACAGGGAGGAGGAGAAGAGGAGGGCAGATTATTAATTGGAAGGGGAATACCCCTCCATAAGGACTTTAGGTATCAGCCCTCTCTGGGGTTACTTTCCTTCTTTGTCTTTTAATGCCACTAGGACCAGCTTGCGAGTCACTGGACCCCTGTCGCACAAAATAACTGTCCAGAGTGCTCTGTTTCTTAAGATTTCCCTAAAATGGTACAAGGTTTTGTCACTGAACGTGTTGCAGATATGGCTTGTTTCAGCTTGGTCAGGGTGATACTTCACAAAAGTTTGCACCTCATTCCACTTTGCACAAATGTCCTTAATCACTGAAGAAGGCACATCCTTCCTTCTCTCTTCCTCCTCCTCTGAAGCAAGTTCCTCAGCCGTGGTCTGTTGCTGTTCCAGTTGAAGGTGTTGCAGTTCTTCAGTGGTTAGCTCTTCCCTGTGGTCCTCCACCAACTCTTCCACATCCTTGCCACTCACATCACACCCCATGGACTTCCCCAATGCCACAATAGATTCCACAACAGGCAGAGGGTCGACAGGGTCAGGATCAGCCTCAAACCCTTCAAAATCCTTCTCGAGGACACAGTCTGGCTACAATTGTCTCCAAGAAGAGTTTAAAGTCCTGGAAGTCACTCCCTGCCAAGCCTTACCTATAAGGCTTTTGTAGATGTAGATATTGAAGTGATTCCTCCAGAACCCTCCTAGGTTCAATTCAGTGTGCGAGGTCACTTCACAGCACTTTTGAAATACTGCTTTTGTGTAGAGTTTTTTGAAGTTAGAAATGACCTGCTGGTCCATGGGCTGGATGAGAGGAGTGTTAGGAGGCAAGAACTTCACTGTTATACAATGTAAATCCCTAGACAATAGGCCTACCAAGTTTGGAGGATGAGCAGGAGCACTGTCCATTATCAGGAAGCACTTGAGTGTCAATTGATTTTCCAGGAGGTATTTTTTCACACTCGGGCCAAACACTTCATGGACCCAGTCAATGAAAAGTTGCCTTGTGACCCATGCCTTACGATTAGCTTTCTACATCACACACAATTTACTCTTGACGACATTGTTTTTCTTGAACACTTTGGGATTTTCAGAGTGATACATGAGTAAAGGTTTCACTTTGAAATCCCCACTAGCATTAGCACAGAACAGGAATTAGCCTGTCTTTCATAGGCTTGTGTCCTGGCAGTGCCTTTTCTTCCTCCATGATGAAGGTCCTCTTTGGCATTTTCTTCCAAAAGAGGCCTGTTTTGTCACAACTGAACACTTGTTGGGGTTGGAATTCTTCAGTCTGTACATACCCCTTGAATTCCTGCACAAATTTTTCAGCCACATGTTTGTCTAAACTTGCAGCCTCACCATGCCTTACAACACTATGTATGCCACTATGCTTCTTAAATCTCTCAAACCAGCCTCTTCTGGCCTTAAATTCACTAACATCAACAATAGTACCAGGCATTTTCTTTACAAGATCCGCATGCAACTGCCTTGCCTTTTCACAAATGATCGTCTCTGCAACACTATCTCTGGCTAACTATTTCTTCCTGATACACAACAACAACAACTTCTCCACATCTTCATTTGCTTGTGATCTCTTTTTTGTTAACATGTTTACCCCTTTTGCCACATCAACTTCCTTGATTTATTTTCTTTGCCAGGACAGAAGTGATTGTTGATTTGTTTTTGCCATACATCCTGGCAACTTCCAGCACCTGCACACCACTCTCATATTTTTCTATTACTTCCTTCTTAAATTCCATCGTGTTTCTCACTTTCTTTACCAAAGGAACTTTACTAGAAACTTTCTTGGGGCCCATGGTGACTTATTTCACAGTTGCACTTAATAAAAAAACACCAAAAACAATGGATTTTAAGGAAATGTTTGGATGAATGCACGGAGTATATGCTCACTCGCCGACAAAGGGAAACTGACAAACCTACGCGTGGTGTCCTGGTAGGAGGCAGGCTGATGCGTCTAATACGGCCGATACACAAGGCAACGGCCAAAATATGGAGCAAAATTTCTACCAAAAAAACGGGCCTAAATATGAATCAGCTGATAAACGCAGTGGCCGAAAAATGAGGTTCCACTATAATTTCTTTTATTTTAAAGTATCTATTAACTGAATTTAAAGTGTTTATCAAGCCTAAACTTGTGTATTTTGATATACAGTGGACCCTCGAATTTAGTAGTGCTTTTTCTGTATGCAAAACTATTTTTATTATCTATAAAATGTATGTTTTGTTAATGTTTCCCATACGAAATATAATGTACAGTGGAACCTCAAAAATTGAACGTATCACATATCGAACATTTCAAAAATAAGACAATTTTTTCGGACAAACTGTGTCCCTATTATCGAACGTGCCCCTATTTTCAGACCGCCGGGTACGGGACCTGTCCACTGGCCCGCTCTGTCGGCGTCCCCGCGCAGGCGCCGTGAGCAGTCTAGCTTTGTTTATGCTTGAGTGAACACTAACCTGCGATCTCATTCACACATTTTACGATTATTTAATTGTGTTTAGTGCTTGTGGGGCTGTGAAATAAGCTGCCATGGGCCCAAAGAAACTTGCTAGCAGTACCCCTGTGGTAAAGAAAGTGAGAAACACCATAGATGTGAAGAAGGAAATAATACAGAAGTATGAGATTGGAGTGAGACTTGTTGAGCTTGCCAGGATGTACAGAGGACTGTGGACAGTTACTCTGCGAGACAGAAACAGACGACTCTGGACAGTTATTTTGTAAGACAGAAACAGACGACTGTTGAGTTATTTTGTGAGACAAACAGACGATTGTGGACAGTTATTTTGTGAGACAGAAACAGATGACTGTGAACAGTTATTTTGTGAGACAGAAACAGACGACTGTGGAGTTATTTTGTGAGACAAACAGACGATTGTGTAAAGTAAAAGGACACAAGTGCAACTAATGTGACATTTTATTGTGGCAACGTTTCGCTCTCCAGGAGCTTTGTCAAGCCGATACAATAAAATGTCACAATAGTTGCACTTGTATCCTTTTACTTTACATATTGCGATAATTCTACCAACATTATTACAAACGATTGTGGACAGTTATTTTGTGAGACAGAAACAGACGACTGTAGACAGTTATTTTGTGAGACTGGGGTCCAATGACTCTCAAGCTGGTCCTAGTGGCATTAAAATACAGAGAAGGGAAGCAACCCCAGAGAGGGCTTTGATACCGGAAGTCCTCATGGAGGGGGATTCTCCTTCCAAACAATAACCCCAACTCCCTCTCTCCTCCTCCCTATCTTCCAGATGCCACCACCAATCTTCAATAAAGGTAAGTAAAAATGTTATTTTGTATTACTATACATAATTAAAGACTATAGCATTTGTTGTGTGTATGTAAAACTGTAATTAATCTCTATAAAATGTATTTTTTTTTGTGAATATTTTTGGGTTTCTGGAACGGATTAATTGTATTTCCATTATTTCTTATGGGAAATATTGCTTCGAATTTCAGACTTTTCGAATTTAGAACTAGCTCCTGGAACGGATTAAGTTTGAAATTTAAGGTTCCACTGTAAATCCAATTAAACCATTCCAGACACCCAAAAATATTAACAAAAAATACACAAATAACCCGCACATAAAAGAGAGAAGCTTACGACGACGTTTCGGTCCGACTTGGACTCTCTTTTATGTGCGGGTTATTTGTGTATTGTTCCAGTCACGGTATTGTGCCTTTTTTGTTATTTAACAAAAAATACATCTGTAAGATTTTTTTTTTTTATTTTCCAAAATTGTCCCCCCTCCCCCACACACAGGAATTGTTTTTTCAGGCTATCCTACAGTCAAGGGTTAATTGATGGTCTACTGTATATGAAGCAGCATCACCAAGTAACTGACACTGTTCATTAGGCATACTCCAAAGTGCCATGGAGGGTTGAATAACAAGCCCTTTACAAAGCTAAATGTCAGTAACAATCGCTTCAGTCTCTCAATAACTACTACATTCTCATATATGTACTGCTAAGTCATGCTCATATCTACCTTCTTTACACATCTTTCAAGTATGCTGTGTATAAACATCTGCAGAGGAAGAAAATTTTGTTGTAAGAGGTTACTAAGCAACTTCATCTTTTCATTTGAGTACAAAGACCTACTAAGTGGCACAAGGCACAACCCTAATAATACATTTTTAACCCTTCAACTGTCCAAACATAGATCTACGTCCACGTGCGGAGGGCTCCGAAAGTAGATCTACGTTTTTTCTTACATGCCTTCAAATGGGGAAAATCAAGGTCGGAGTGCTACACACGTGACCGTAGATCTACGTTTGGACAGTTTAAGGGTTAATCCTATATTTGTATTCTTCCTTTCATTTTTGGTGCATTTCTAGCTCGATATCAGATTTGGGCCCCATTTCCTTGCATATCAAAATGTCCTGGTTTTCCAGAACATTTTGGTATGCATCTACAGCTAATTCAACAAATAACAATCATTTTCAAAGACACATGTTTCTAAAACAGAATTTTATGAGTATTTGCTGCCATTTTTATTTGAAAATAGTGTGGATATTAAAATTTCTCCACCACAAATGGACAAGATTTGCATTGTAATAATATATAAACTTACCTGAGGTATTAGTTTTTCTGCAGCATCAAGATCTTCACGAAGATTTTTGTCTGTTTCACTTGTAATGTCTGCTTTCTCATATACAGGGGGCTGAATATCTTCTAGAACTTCCTTCAAAGGTTCACTAGGTTCCTGCAGAGGTTCAATGTGAATGGGATCAGGAATAACTTCATCTACAGGTACTGGGTCCTTCCCATCTGCAGGAGAAGGCAAGACTGCTTCGTCTTCCTCAGATGGTGGAAAAACATAAGTACGTTCTTCATGCAGTGCTTCATCAGGAATGATTTGAGATTCAATATCAGCAAGCACATCCTCAGGAACAACCTCAGACTCTGAAGGATTTACTGGAGAGCCAAGGTTTTGCTCACTAGGTTCCTGCAGAAGTTTAATGTGAATGGGATCAGGAATAACTTCATCTACAAGTACTGGGTCCTTCCCATCTGTAGTAGAGGGAAAGACAGTTTCATCTTCCTCAGATGGAGGAAAAACATAAGTACGTTCTTCCTGCAGTGCAATATCAGGAATGATTTGAGATTCAATATCTGAAAGAACATCTTCTGGAACAACCTCAGATTTCGTTGCATATACTGCAGAGTCGATGTTTTTCTCACCCGGTTCCTGTAGAAGTTTAATGTGAATGGGATCAGGAATAACATCATTTACCAGTACTGGGTCCTCCCCATCTGCAGGAGAAGGGAAGACAGTTTCATCTTCCTCAGATGGAGGAAAAACATAAATACGTTTTTCATGTAGTGAATCATCAGGAATGATTTGAGATTCAACATCTAAAAGAATATCCTCTGGAACAACCTCAGATTTGGCAAGACTTACCGGAGAACCCAGGTTTCGTGATACTACAACTTCCTCAAATTGCCCTACTACTGGCCTAACTGTTAGATACTCATAGTTGAGACTGCTCTCTGCCTCAAGTTCTGGCCCACTGACCGACTGTGACTCAGGTTCTGTCTTATCAACTTCTTGTGACTCAGGCTCATAAACTATTTGTTGCTCAAGCACTGGTTCATCTGTTTGTGGCATGGGCTCATACACTGTTTGTTTCTCAGCCTCTGTTTCATCAACTGTTTGTTTCTCAGCCTCTGTTTCATCAACTGTTTGTTTCTCAGCCTCTGGTTCATCAACTGTTTGTGAACTGAAATCTGGTTCATCTACTTGTGGTTCTAGCTCTGGTTCTTCAACTGTTTGTGGTTCATAAAGTGCTTGTGGTTTAAGATCTGGTTCATCAACTGCTTGTGGTTCAAGCTCTGGTTCTACAACTGCTTGTGGTTCAATCTCTGGTTCTTCAACTGCTTGTGGTTCAAGCTCTGGTTCTTCAACTGCTTGTGGTTCATAAAGTGCTTGTGGTTCAAGCTCTGGTTCATCAACTGCTTGTGGTTCAAGCTCTGGTTCTTCAACTGCTTGTGGTTCAAGCTCTGGTTCTTCAACTGCTTGTGGTTCATAAAGTGCTTGTGGTTCAAGCTCTGAGTCTTCAATTGCTTGTGGTTCAAGCTCTGGTTCATCAACTGCTTGTGGTTCAAGCTCTGGTTCTTCAACTGCTTGTGGTTCAAGCTTTTGTTCTTCAACTACTTGTGGTTCAAGTTCTGCTTCATCAACTACTGGTGGTTCAAGCTCTGGTTCTTTAACTGCTTGTGGTTCCAGCTCTGGTTTGTCAGCTGTTTGTGGTTCAAGCACTGGTTCATCAACTGCTTGTGGTTCAAGCTCTGGTTCTTCAACTGCTTGTGGTTCAAGCTTTGGTTCTTCAACTACTTGTGGTTCAAGTTCTGCTTCATCAACTACTGGTGGTTCAAGCTCTGGTTCTTTAACTGCTTGTGGTTCCAGCTCTGGTTTGTCAGCTGTTTGTGGTTCAAGCACTGGTTCATCAACTGCTTGTGGTTCATCAAGTATTTGTGGTTCAAGCTCTGGTTCATAAACTGCTTGTGGTTCAAGCATTGGTTCATAAACTTTTTGTGGTTCAAGTGTTGGTTCATCAACTACTTGTGGTTCAAGCTCTGGTTCATCAACTGTTTGTGGTTCATCAACTACTGGTGATTCAAGCTCTGGTTCATCAACTGCTTGTGGTTCATCAACTGCTTGTCGTTCATCAACTACTGGTGGTTCAAGCTCTGGTTCATCAAATGCTTGTGATTCAAACTCTGCTTCATCAACTGCTTGTGGTTCAAGCTCTGGTTCATCAACTGCTTGTGATTCAAGCTCTGGTTCATCAACTGCTTGTGGTTCAAGCTCTGGTTCATCAACTGCTTGTGGTTCAAGCTCTGGTTCATCAACTGCTTGTGGTTCAAGCTCTGGTTCATCAACTGCTTGTGGTTCAAGCTCTGGTTCTTCAACTGCTTGTGGTTCAAGCTCTAGTTCATCAACTGCTTGTGGTTCAAGCTCTGGTTCATCAACTGCTTGTGGTTCAAGCTCTGGTTCTTCAACTGCTTGTGGTTCAAGCTCTGGTTCATCAACTGCTTGTGGTTCAAGCTCTGGTTCTTCAACTGCTTGTGGTTCAAGCTCTGGTTCATCAACTGCTTGTGGTTCAAGCTCTGGTTCTTCAACTGCTTGTGGTTCAAGCTTTGGTTCTTCAACTGCTTGTGGTTCAAGTTCTGGTTCTTCAACTGCTTGTGGTTCAAGCTCTAGTTCATCAACTTGCCATGGATAAGGCTGCAGCATATCATTAGTAATAGAGTGAGTTACATGTGTGTCAGGAGCCAGAACCTGGGCCTTCCCTCCTACATCACTACCAGCTATTAAAACCTCAGGCTTCTGCTGGATGTTGGCTTCTGGTTTTGCTGACTCTTCTGGCTGAGCAGCTCCAGAGCTGAGTGGCTGTATAAAAAAGGCAAATTTTGTTAGCTGGCGATTATTAGCAGTAAGGAAAATATATGAGTCCATGAATTACTTTAAAAAACATTTGCAGGCAATGAGTTATCATTCTCATTTAAACTGACACAAATCATGCAAAAGTAGTGAAAATATTCAAAAGTTTTATCACCATAACTTATTTAAGGCTACAAAAAACAAACATTAAAATAAGAATGGAAATGGTTAAATGAATATGTATTACTAAAATATATTAATGCAACACAAAGCAATCGCAGACAAGTGATCTTCATGCAAACCAAGCCACAGGGAAATGGAAATCTTCACCTCAAGATCTTTCATTTTTCTATGCATCAGGAGCTATGCAATGTTGCAAGAACTACAACAGTTAGATTGAAGAAATGTTTTCTCAGAGGAAAGGTAACATACTGATGCTGGCTGGCCTCTTCTAAGGTAGATGAGGCCAGAGTCAACACGATACATTTTTGAGAAAACATCCCCTCAATCTAACTGTTGCAGTTTTTGCAACATTGCACTGCTCTTAAATGAAACATGGTAGAGTGTGAGATCTTAAGCTGAAGATTTCCATCCCCTGTGACTTGTTTTGTATTAATGTAATATATTTATATAACCAGATTACTTTCAACAAATTACCAAAGCAAAGCATAGCATCTAAAAATTAATGATTTTCATGCAAATGCAAGAACTGCAATGCTAGCAAATAATTCAATCCATTCTAGAAACATACAATGAGCATACAAAGGAAGCATCAAGATCAGCACCAAAAGATCTGCTTCTATCCACAACATTAATAGAATAAAATAGATCGAAATTAGTGTGTGTGTGTGTGTGTGTGTGTGTGTGTGTGTGTGTGTGTGTGTGTGTGTGTGTGTGTGTGTGTGTGTGTGTGTGTGTGTGTGTGCGCGCGTGTGTGCGTGCGTGCGTGCGTGCGTGTGTGAATCTTATTAGCCTGGAACAGTCCATTGGATAACATATCAGCCAGCTAGTTTTAGAACCAGTTTGCCATGAATTCCATTGTTCCTTGCTGCAAGTTGCTTATCTATCAAGGCTGAAAGAGAACAGAAGTATAGTGATACCAATCATTTTACATGGATGTGAAGCATGGGCTTTAACCCCTTTGACTGTTGCAAGCCCCTTTCTGAAACTGTCATTCTATGTCGCAAAATTTTTGCAAAAAAAAAAAAAAAAAAAAAAAAAAAAAAAAAATTATTGTTTCTTATGAAATGATAGAGAATCTTTTCCCGATAATAATGACACCAAAAGTATGAAATTTGGTCGAAAACTCACGGAATTACGCTCCTGCGAAGTTAGCGGTCTTGGCGACATATACGGATCGGCGATTTCGCTGACTTTGAGCCCTGTTTTTGGCCAATTCCGTTGATCCAGTTGACCAAACTCATAGCTATTTCTTTAGAACTCCTACCGTACACTTTTCCTGGTATACTCAGTAAACTTATTCCTCTATAATTTTTAGCCTCTTTTGTCCCCTTTCCCTTTATATAAAGGGACTATACATGCTCTCCGCCAATCCCTTCACTAAATATTACCCTGCTCAAACTCCAACAGCTCGTCAGGTCCCATCAACCATTCATCTCCATTCTCTCCTATCACGCTTGTGCATGCTTTCTGGAAGTCCAAGCCCCTTACCCACAAAACCTCCTTTACCCCCTCCCTTCAACCTTTTCGAGGACGACCCCTACCCCACCTTCCTTCCCCTACAGATTTATATGCTCTCCATGTCATTCTACTCTGTTCCATTCTCTCTAAATGACCAAACTGCCTCAAGAACCCCTCTTCAGCCCTCTGAATACTTTTAGTAACTCCACACCTTCTCCTAATTTCCACACTTCCAATTCTCTGCATATTTACACCACACATTGCCCTTAGACAGAACATCTCCAATGCCTCCAACCGCCTCCTTGCTGCAGCATTTACATCTCAACCTTCACACGCATATAAAAGTGTAGGTACCACTATACTTTCATACATTCCCTTCTTTGCCTCCACTGATCATGTTTTTTGTCTCCACATATACTTTAACGCACCACTCACCTTTTTTCCATCATCAATTCTATGGCTAACCTTATCCTTCATAAACCCATCTGCTGACAAATCAACTCCCAAATATCTGAAAACATTCACTTCTTCCATACTCCTTCTCTCCAATGTGATATCCAATTTTTCTTTATCTAGATCATTTGATACCCTCATCACCTTACTCTTATCCGTGTTCACTTTCAACTTTCTACCTTTACACACACACACACACTCAAATTCGTCCAGTAACCTTTGCAACTTTTCTTTTGAATCGCCCATAAGCACAGTATCATCAGCAAAAAGTAACTGTGTCAACTCCCATTTTGTATTTGATTCCCCATAATTTAATCCCACCCCTCTCCCCAACACCCTAGCATTGACTTCTTTTACAACCCAATCTATAAATATATTAAACAACCATGGTGACATTACACATCCCTGTCTAAGACCTACTTTTACCAGGAAGTAATCTCCCTCTCTTCTACACACCCTAACCTGAGCCTCACTATCCTCATAAAAACTCTTTACAACATTTAGTAACTTACTACCTATTCCATATACTTGCAACATTTGCCACATTTCTCCCCTATCCACTCTATCATATGCCTTTTCTAAACCCATAAATGCAATGAAAACTTCCCTATCTTTATCTAAATACTGTTCACATATATGCTTCAATGTAAACACTTGATCTACACATCTCCTACCCACTCTAAAACCTCCTTGCTCATCCGCAATCCTACATTCTGTCTTGCCTTTAATTCTTTCAATAATAACCCTACTATGCACTTTTCCTGGTATACTTAGTAAACTTATTCCTCTATAATTTTTACAATCTCTTTTGTCCCCCTTCCCTTTTTATAAAGGAACTATACATGCTCTCTGTCAATCCCTAGGTACCTTCCCCTCTTCCATACAATTTTTTTTTTTTTCAACAAGTCGGTCATCTCCCACCGAGGCAGGGTGACCCAAAAAAAAGAAAGAAAATCCCCAAAAAGAAAATACTTTCATCATTCAACACTTTCACCACACTCACACATTATCACTGCTTTTGCAGAGGTGCTCAGAATACAACAGTTTAGAAGCATATACGTATAGAGATACACAACATATCCCTCCAAACTGCCAATATCCCAAACCCCTCCTTTAAAGTGTAGGCATTGTACTTCCCATTTCCAGGACTCAAGTCCGACTATATGAAAATAACCGGTTTCCCTGAATCCCTTCACTAAATATTACCCTGCTCACACTCCAACAGATCGTCAGGTCCCAAGTATCATTCGTCTCCATTCACTCCTATCTAACACGCTCACGCACGCTAGCTGGAAGTCCAAGCCCCTCGCCCACAAAACCTTTACCCCCTCCCCCAAACCCTTTCGAAGACAATCCCTACCCTGCCTTCCTTCCCCTACAGATTTATACGCTCTCCATGTCATTCTACTTTGATCCATTCTAAATGACCAAACCACCTAACAACCCCTATTCAACACTCTGACTAATACTTTTATTAACTCCACACCTTCTAATTTCCACACTCCGATTCTCTGCATAATATTTACACCATACATTGCCCTTAGACAGGACATCTCCACTGCCTCCAACTGCCTCCTCACTGCAGCATTTACCACCCAAGCTTCACATCCATATAAGAGTGTTGGTACTACTATACTTTCATACATTCCCTTCTTTGCCTCCATAGATAACGTTTTTTGACTCCACATATACCTCAACGCACCACTCACCTTTTTTCCCTCATCAATTCTATGATTAACCTCATCCTTCATAAATCCATCCGGCGACACGTCAACTCCCAAGTATCTGAAAACATTCACTTCTTCCATACTCCTCCTCCCCAATTTGATATCCAATTTTTCTTTATCTAAATCATTTGATACCCTCATCACCTTACTCTTTTCTATGTTCACTTTCAACTTTCTACCTTTACACACATTCTCAAACTCATCCACTAACCTTTGCAATTTTTCTTTAGAATCTCCCATAAGCACATTTATTAAACAAAAATACCAACCACTCCAACACTATATTACACCACATTACAGTTTCATACATCACAATATCTTACAAGCATATCCAAATCTCCATATTTAACCCTTTGACTGTTTCGGTCATATATATACGTCTTACGAGCCAGTGTTTTGGACGTATATATATACAGTGGACCCCCGCATACCGTTGGCATCACATAACGTTTAATCCACATACCTCTCGCTTTTTTCGCAAAAATTTTTGCCTCGCATACCGCTTAAAAACCCACTCACCGCTGTTCGTCCGAGATGCGTCCAATGTGCAGCCTGAGCCACGCTCACATGTTCCGCCGGTGGCATTGTTTACCAGCCAGCCTCCGCGGTAACATCCAAGCATACAATCAGAACATTTCGTATTATTACAGTGTTTTTGGTGATTTTATCTGCAAAATAAGTGACCATGGGCCCCAAGAAGCTTTTTAGTGCCAACCCTACAGCAATAAGGGCGAGAATTACTATTGAGATGAAGAAAAAGATCTTGATAAGTATGAAAGTGGAGTGCGTGTCTCCGAGTTGGCCAGGTTGTATAATAAACCCCATCAACCATCGCTACTATTGGTGGTACAGCTGCTGCTGTGCTGTACCACCGTCAGCTGCGCGCACTGCAGCTGCTGCTGTGCGTAGCCCGTCAGCTGCTGCTGTGCTGTCCCACCGTCTGCGCTGCTGTAGCATCGTCTGCTGCTCCCTGTACACCGTCTGCTGCTGCTGTTGCATCGTCTGCTGCTGCTGTTAGCATCGTTCTGCTGCTGCGTAGCATCGTTTGCTGCTGCTGTAGCACTGTCAGCTGCTGCTGTTTGCTGTAGCATCGTCAGCTGCTGCTGTTGCTGTAGCATCGTCTGCTGCTGCTGTAGCATCGTCTGCTGCTGCTGTAGCATCGTGCTGCTTCTGTAGCACTGTCAGCTG